CTTGTGTCATCAACCAGCATCACATGGCCCGGGACGATAATATCTCGTCAAGTGTCGGATGCCCCGGATCCCCGGGTCTTGGAACCGTCCCTTTTAGTAGGGCGGCGCGCAGCGCCAATCGTGTCCACCAATTCATCCGAGGACGACCGGAGGTATGGCCTCGGGCCTTTCCCACTCGCGTACATGCAGGAGCTGACTAACTGCACAATGCCATAGGCCGAGTGTTGATCATTAAAGTGAGGTGAATGATGTGAACCCACCTCCCGAATTACAGGGCTTAGCACACCAATCAACGGCAGACCAATCGAGTTCGGGATTGTTCAAAATCCCGAACGGACATTGGAAATCCAACCTCAGTCATCAACGGGGGCCTAATCATGGGATCGTGTCAATGCATCTAATTATCTCATTCGGAATCCACGGGCGTTATTGGTCTGCTTAAATTAAATTGTAGATGGAGCTACTGCCTCGCTACGAGATGCAGCGATCGGCTCCGAGACAGGATTTCGCAATGAGTCACCAGCTATTGGTCCGTGATAAGATCGATCGGACCTCGCCCAACCCCAAGGTGAATTGTCCGGCGTGGAGAATTCAGCCTTCCATCTCCGAACGTGAACGCCTGTCAGGCTTGTTGACGTAATCCACTTGAGGAACACTGCCTCTTCTAACCTTTTTTTGGCTTTCCGAAGGTTGCCCGTAGTGATGACACTTCCTTGTTTCTCCGGTTGTATTTCCCCTGCTGAATGCGGGTTTTCAGTGTCACTTTTGAGTCTGTGTGAGGGCCAGGACTCTAGAGAGTGAGGGGAAAGCCTTTAGTAAGTAAATAGCTACCTACCCTATCCAGCTCTAAGACCAGACACCTGGGCAACTGCACAACCTCCAGTAGTAATGAACAAGGGTCTTCAAATAACAGACAAGTTCGGAATCTAAGAGCCTTCTATCGGCCATTAGGATATATGAATGACCAAGTTGTGTTTTGAAAGAGCTTAGAAAATAAATAACCACATCGCAGCAAGAAGATATCTTGATGCAGCACGACGTCATATATGGCCATTAAGGAGGCCGTGACTTCTTCGGAGGTCGGCCAACCTTGCCCTTCACCTGCTCTCGGCTTCGCTTTGTCGAGCCTCCATCACCGCGCACTTGTGCCGGCTGCTCACCATGTCCGTTTGTCAGCGGCTGGCCGGGAACAGTGTTTGCTGCTTGCGGCGCTGCAGTTGGAGGACCTTCTTCCCTTTCTCCTCCAATGTCCGAATCATCATTTGCGATCTGTGGATCTTCTACGGGCTCAAAAGAATCTGACAACGCCTTCAATGCATTCTTAATATGACCCAGACGAGTGTCCGCACCCCACTCGATAATTTTTGTCAGATACGCGCTCAGCTTATCAAACCCCTGGTCCTCATAAAACAAGAACCCTCTGATCAGAAACATCTTGAAGACTCCTTGCCCATCTGAGAAAGTAACGAAGAGCCTTGCCTCCGTCCCATTGGGAACGACACTAAATACTATCGGCTCAAGGACTTCGGATTGAGTTTTCAGAGACCTCTGATTCAGCTGTGTCTTGAACTGGTCCAAGATGTTAAGAAATGTGGCCGTGCCTCCAAGGCATTGGTTCGTGGCAGCCCATAGCCGCCCCAAAGAGTTGCTCCCGTCTCCCTTGTATTCAATCTCCAGAAAAGGAAACTTGATGTCGCTGCTGTCTAGTTGGTCAAGAACATCCAGGTTTTCTATTGGAAACGTACTAAGCCCGTATCCAAGGTGGTAATCTGGTTTAGGGGTGCTGACTTCATCATCGGGCTTTTTAGTTGGGACGCGCAACCTCTCCAACAATCGATTGATGCCTCTTTTAAGGTCAAGTCGATTTCTCGTTGTTGTTGATAACGATTCGGAGTTCAGGAGCTCTCCGACATCCTCCTCCGTTGTCCCTTCGATTGCCATATTTCTCAGCCTATGGTACTTGACTTGGTCTAGATCGCAGACCTGCAAAGGCTCTTCCGGGAGAATACGTTCCAGCAATTGGCTGATATGCTCGGGCAGCTCTTCCTCTGACCGAATGGTCCTGATACCGTTTTTCAACAGCGTGGTGCGGTAACCTGATCTTTGGATAAGAGCCTGGTAGCTTTTTCTTGAGTCAATGGTGGAATACTGATCAATGTCCATGCGTGCATATAACCCAGAGATTGTCGGCTGGGACGGGGCCATGGCAGAAAATCTTTCTCGCAACTGAGAGCCAATTTGCGAACCACCACCCTGCAGTGAGTGCTCCGGCAGCTCTTCAAGCCAATCTAGGACGAGCTCGTGCGGCCCGACTGACCTTGTCTCACTGATTCCGGGGCTTTCTCTAGGTCGAGGCTTCAGTGCAGCGGGGGCCTTTTGCTCCTTCTGTTCCTGCTCTCACATCAGTCTTGATTTCTTAATGAGGTAGGGTAAGCATACAGGCCTGGGTCCAGGAACGAGGACGACAAGGTTCGACTGGATCTTTTTTCGTGATGCTACGGTCTTTTGTGAGAATTAACCCATATGAATGCTAGGAGAGAAACTGTTACCTGAGCCGGTCCTCTCTCCATCTGCCACCAGGCAAGCAGCTGCCAGAACCCTCGATCGTGTCCCAAACATAAGAGAGCTAGAAATATGGCTGATACAGAGTATATATGTTCAAGAGGCAGCAAAGAGGTGAGAAGGAAAAAGTTTGCTCTGTGACTAACGGGTGAAATTTCTATGTGCAGCTGCTCTGGAAGTCCTCGTGGATCATGAGGGTCAAGCCAGTTATTTGGTCTTTCCGCTCTTACTTTACTTAGAGAGATATCTTCGGCTCGCGTTGTATGTCGTAGATGAAGTCGCATTCAGGATGTTATTATCGCAATGGCCGAGACCAAAGAAGCTTCAGAAGGCTCGCCAGCTTTGTCTGGGATTCCATCGCCCCCCTCCCCTATCACCCACCATCAGGGAAAGAGCTGACTTTTGTATTCTCACTTATCTATTCAATTGGAATAATGCTTTTGGAGCCAAAAATAAAAGGCCCTATCTCCGTCCTCAGCGAGCCCTGGGGCCATCTACACAAAGAGTAGAATGGCGGGTTAGTGGGACCTTGCGCCCCCCCTCACTTGCCGATATACAAAGCATGGTACAAAAATTGAATGGATAAATAAGATTGGCAAAGATGGTTGTTTGTTCTTTGATGATTCGTCCAATTGTCCCATTCGCCGAACACCTTATGGCAAACCTCCATTCCTTGAGGGGCCATCCCAAAACAAGGCAAATACTCTCAACGCAGCGTCCTAGCAGCTCCCAGTAACAGGACTCTGTTTGTGCCTAGATCAACGGGGCGCCGGGCTAGCAAGATCTTTTTGGCGTGACACAATTTGATAGTCCAACGTAATACCTGCTTTATATTGACATAGGAGACGGTAGCGTTTGATGAAGGTTTCGTTCGCATTGTACTCTTCCTCCCTATGTGCATCGAATGTTGCAGTGGATAGTAGTTTCATTGATAACAGCCTATGAGATTTTCCATCAACGTACATGTGAATTCTTTCGTGGGCTAGTTTCGGGGACTTCGTCCGACTTATCCGGTATTCATACATGCCCGGTGAGCCATCAGGCTCGGAAGCATTTATATCTACAACTCAACCAACATTGAAGGCGATTGACCCCAACGGATTTTTCCGAACCTTGACATCGGCTATACCGTCGTCATAAGCTCTTTAGCTACCTCCATTATGGTATCCATTGATGTTGGAGTTGATCCTCCTGCTCTTCTTCGGTTAAGTTCGGAGCCCCTGTGTCACCGACAAGATCTGCACTGGAGCAGTAGCAGATGGTTAAGGAGGTGTTGGTATTGTTCGGTCGAGCCTATGATTCCGTCACGCACCTTAATCAGAGTAAGGTTCCTATCTCCTCCAACATCCCACACGAGAGTACCTACGACAATATGGTCCTTGCCTGCCTCCACACCGCCTGCCGGAGCTTATAGTAATGTAGTTCTCCCGACGTGCATGAATTAATGCGATTTGGCCCGTAGTGTTATGCGCCAATACATGGACGGATTCTCTTTCGTTGTAGTGGAAACTGGAATCTTTGCCACCAATGATCTTCCGAGCGACTGAAGAATTTGCAGACATTGTGTTTTTTGTCTGCAGGGTATTGTGCCAAGACATGCAAGCAAGGTCGGTGATCACAATGGGCGGTGTCCATCCACCTACACCGCTGCGATAGAAGGAATGTGATGGGTGAAGTCCCAAATCTATCCAGCGAATTAAAATTTAGCCATTATGCAGATACCTAGGGTAGGCAATCCTTCTGAGGGATGAGCAGGCAAATATGTAAGTACTTATGTGTTTTTGAATCTTACAGAGCACGTCACAATGTTCTAACGAGATCAGGAGTTAGACGTGATTTTCGGCTACGTCCTGGTTCTAACTTCTCGGCTATCGGATTCAGATCATGACTATGAGATCTTAACCTTTGGTGCCTGCTCAATTATGACCACGCCGCAAAATCACCTGATGACATGGATTCTCCTTCCTTGCCTTGCTGCGATGAAGATCGTCAACATGGAAATCTGCCTTCAACGGCTCACAGCGACTGTTCGTAAATTAAGTTGTTAGTTACATGTAGTGAGGCATAATTCTATGGCTTATACGGTAGGTATTCTCAACGAGATGGTGCAACAAAATGCTACGGCCTGACTTACTACGGTGGCAGCATAGCCTGGTGACAAGTTGGTAGAACTAATACATTAGAACATGAGTTTTTTCAAGTATTCACCCAGCAAATTTGAACCTTTTGAACGGTCAGAACATTTAGCCATTTTTTCGTTGGATGCTGCATGCTGTTGGTTTAGATCTAATCTAATCAATCTTATCGGACATGGTAACCTTTTTTTTTGCGCCCGATAAGAGTGGTCTACCCAAAATTTTCCGGGCGCCAACTATGGCCATCTCACATCGCATCAACTGCTGCCCCGCCTCAACACGTGAGAGCGAACCAGACTCACAATGGCTGACGATGGTATGATCTTGAATTTTCAGCTTGGCTCAGCGCCGCTGAAGCCACAAACAACCAAATTTACGGGTGGGCGCTGGAGGGATAGGAAGCGGGCAGAAAAGTCAGCCAAACTTGCGGGTTCGCAGTCCAAAACCCCCAGGGACGAGGGAGATGCAGAGGCTTCAGAGAGAGCTCCCAAAAGATACAAGACCAACGATAATGGTGAGTCCTCGGGCTGGAAGCCGGGCAACCAGTCGCAGAGCAGCCTAGGTCCGAAAAAGCCTTCAACAAACGATAATGCTGGTGGCCGTTCCAGTCATCGCGGCCAGTCCGATGGCCACAAAGGGTCACGCCAGGTTATCTCTCGCCTTTTCAGTTTCAACCCAGAACAGAAAACTGTAGCGGAAAAGGAGGAATCGGAATGGGAGGCACCCGAAGCAACCAACGCCCCCCTGAGTGACGTTGCAAACTTCGGAACTCTGGCATTGGCCTCTCGATTAGTGGATGAGCTTTCCAAGATGAACTTGGAGCGACCAACAGCAATTCAGAACAAGGTGATCCCGCATTTGATATCCAACAGCGGCGATGCTTTTGTACAAGCAGAAACAGGTTCAGGAAAGACCTTTTCGTATCTGCTCCCCATTCTTCACCGGGTATTGCAGCTCAGCGGGAAGGGGGATGGAAAGCAGATTCATCGGGACTCGGGACTTTTTGCCATCATTGTTGCGCCCACCCGAGAACTGGCAAGGCAGACACACTCTGTTTTGGAGCAGCTCATCCGCCCATTTCCGTGGCTGGTGTCGACTTCCATTACTGGTGGTGAATCCAAGAAGGCCGAGAAAGCAAGGATACGGAAGGGTGTTAACTTTCTCGTCGCAACTCCGGGAAGACTGGCTGATCACATCGACAACACAAAGGCATTGAACTTGGGCACGGTGAGATGGTTGATCCTGGACGAGGGTGATCGCTTGATGGATCTCGGTTTTGAGGAAGATCTCAAGAAAGCCATCAACGCCCTCAAGAGAATCATTGTCGCTGATAAGACAACCAACGGAACCCTCTTGGATTCACTCCCGGACCGAAGAGTCACGGTACTATGTTCTGCGACTATGAAAATGAATGTTCAAAAGCTCGGAGAGATGAGTCTGGCAGACGCGACATTCCTTGCTGCTGAGAAAGATGCCGATCAAACAGCACCGACCGATCAGGCCGTTCTCAAAGCACCAGCTCAACTGCATCAGTCATACATCATTGCCCCTGCCAAACTGCGGTTGGTTACGCTCATATCCTACCTTAAGCTTGCATTTTCTCGGCGTGGACGTACTATGAAAGCCATTATCTTTCACTCTTGCGCCGACTCCGTGGATTTCCACTACGAGCTCTTGAGAGACCCAGCAAAAAAAGACCTGCCTGACACTTCAGCCAAAGAGGCGGAAGTGTTGGCGAGGACCGTGTCCAAAGCGGCGTATATCACATCGCCGGCGAGTCCAGAGGTAATTCTGCACAGGATGCATGGTTCCCTTTCACAACCTGTTCGAACTGCTACCATCAAGTCTTTTGCTGCATCGAAGCTGCCTTCGGTCCTGATTACTACTGATGTCTCATCTCGTGGTCTTGATATCCCCTCAGTTGACCTGGTCATTGAGTATGATCCCGCTTTCAGTTTCTCTGACCACATCCACCGTGTTGGACGTACTGCTCGTGCTGGTCGATCCGGAGATGCCGCTTTGTTCCTTCTGCCTGGCACAGAGGAAGGTTATATCGAGCTCCTCAAGGCATCTACTCCGCCCACAGCACAATCGTGCGAGTCTGTTCTTGAGAAGGGCATGCTGTCTAAGCTCGAGTTTCCGGTAGAAACAACAGCGAAACCTGAAGACGGGAAGACATGCCATGAAAAGGCCGAGACTCTCCAGCTTCACATTGAGCAGAGGCTTCTCGTAGATCCCAAACAGCTAGAACTGGCACGCAATGGATTCAAGTCTCATATTCGAGCATACGCCACTCACATCAAGGAGGAAAGAGTTCATTTCGATATTAGCGAGTTACATCTGGGGCACGTGGCAAAGAGTTTCGGATTGAGAGACCCGCCTGGTGGTATCGGAGCTGGCATCGAGAGGAAGGCGAAAAAGAAGGGCGCCAAGGGTGGCAAGGTCAAACCTTCGACTGACGCGGAAGAAGACCAATCAAGACCAGGACGCGACCGCTTCAAGGAAAAGAGCATGTATCTGATGAAGGCAACGGCCGATGAGTTCAATATTGGTTGATGCTATGATGGAAAGGGTACATATGCAAGTTGGTATTGGCATGTGCCTTTTTTTTCTTTTTCCTTTCTAAGTTTCTTACGGGACAACAGCGAGTCGTTTGAATAAAGGCATATAGTATTTGGCATTCAAGCACATAAAAGACGTATTATTTTTTTACATGAATCGAAATGGTAAATTGTGATGCGAATGTAGGCAGCGAAGCCTGGCTATCCACACCACAACTTATTTGTTCTTCCCGTTTCCAGCATTCTCTACCCCCTTGCTGACGTCTCCGAGGCCCTCTTGCACGCCAGTCCCGAGTTGCCCGACAGCTTCGCCAACGGGCTTGCCGTAGCCACCAGTGACAGCCGTTACAGTGTCCCCAACGCCGCGGGTGGCAGCGCCTGTGACATTGCCGGCGGTTCTTCCAACGGCTCCCACGGTGTTTCCCAGGGTTGATGTGACGAAATTGGCGGCGTCGCCGAGCTGGCCCCCGGATGTGTTCTTGTCGTTTTTGGGTGATAAGTTGGTCATGTTGGATGTGAATATGATGAAATTTGTAAGAAAGTCAAGTCTTGGTCCTTGGGCAAGGAATATGTGAAGTTTTGACTGCAAGGAGTTAATTTGTTAAGATACAGAGAGATGTCTCACCGCACCCTGTAGAGAGCGAAAATTTATACTTTTTGAACAATATCATCTTCCCATTGTGACCAAAGTTCACCTCGCCACAATTCGTTGAGGTGGGTGGCAGGAGTGACGTCAGTCGGCGTATCAGACAAGTTGAAGCTTTGCGCGATCAGCGATCAAACCCTTTTGATGACGTCTCATTCGTCATAATTTGCCCCTAGACGGATAGCTTGAAGCCAAGATTGTTGTTAGATTTACTGCCCCATGACCTTATTCTAGCGCTCTTGACGGCCGGTGGTTGATGATAGGCTGCCTTGCTGGAATATTGCATCTGTCAACCGCGTCACCTAACGGGTCACCTACCCGAGACCACGAACAGAATTAATGAGGCAATCAGCAACATATCACTTTTCAAGGCATCGCCTTAAGGAATTGGGCTTGTAATCACTAAACCAATGAAAATTATAAACCTCTCTACAGCTTGTTGCTCGTGAGATGTATACATTTCCCTAAGCGAGACCTAAACTTAGGTACTTCAGTTATTTAACAGGCCGTTTAACAATCAAGCACGTCGGCAGCAACATCGCACAGATAGACTGTGATCAGTAATCTAGACGGCTGGTCAAGTAGTAGAGATATTCAATTCTCTTACACGATGCTAATTTTAATCGCTGTCCCGTTATTTTGTAATCATGTAAATGCGCGCTAGCTTGGAGAGTGGTATATCGGGAGATCCAGGTCAATGAGTTAGTCCAGGGCAGTTGCGCATGGGCAAATGCTGATTTTCAATTTATACAACAATGCTTGTCATCTAAAAACCCTGTTCGTGTAGCGTGAAACATCTTGCTACAATTAAGTCCTCCAATGTTATCATATGGGGCTTGGACAATTTTTTTGTCAATGCCCACTCAGTCTCCCACTCCCTGTGTATAACCTGCTAGGTGTATTGTTGGTTCGGTACCTGTCTCGAGCGTTTTGGCCCTGCCGAAATGCACACCTCCTATTTATGTTGCCCCCCTGAGGTCCATAGTACATTATCTTTGGCGATAGGTCTAAGAAATTGTCGCTATGCGCTGAGTAGGAGTCTCATGCGTACACGTGGCACACAGCCTCCTCAAGCGCACAGGAGACGTAGGTTTTTAGACCTGCTCAGCGCCCCACCCGCCATCTGCCTCGCGCATGTTGCTCGGGGGTTCGATCGAAGGGATAAACTCAAGGGCGATGTAGCCGACGCCGACGACACCAACAATGATTCCTGCGATGGTGCCGATGATGCCACCGCCGAGAAGGAGACCACTGAGGAGGAGGTAGACTATAATCTATGTAAGCTAGGGGCAAAGGAGGCGCTGATGGGAGCGCACTTACAGACACCTCGTCCAGCAAAGGAGAAGAGGAACGGAGCGTAATGCGACACCTGGGCAGGGATCTGGAATTCTGATTGTAGATGTTAGTTTGAGTAGCTCGTTTTCGTCAAGGATGACTTGGGGTCGTCAACGTACCGAGTAGAGCAATGGACAAGCCAAAAACAATCATGTAAATGGCGAGAATGATGGCCCCCCTGACGGCGATGTGTTAGTATACATGATCGAAGAAGCGCAGGCGATCTTGCTTGATCGCGACGCGAAATTCTAAGGGATAATGGAAGCTTACAGGGAGACGCTGAAGTGGAAGACACCGCCAACTACGGTCAAGCCACCAACTGCCAAGTTGACAATGCGGAAAATATCAGAAAGCTCCATCGTGATGTGCGTGGTACGGGGTAGGAGAGAGTGTAGAAGAGTTGGTTGGTGTTGGAGGAGGATGAACAGAAAATAGAGGAGAGATGGAAGTAAGTAAGATCCCTTAGTTGTAGCCTAGAATAGCTCCCGCTGCATTCGCAATGCGCATCAGCCACATGCCCTGCAGCCACGTGCGTCACAGCTTCAGCCACACAGAAACTTTTAATCGATGCTGGGTCTCATTGGCAGCAACACCACAGACAACATTGTGGCCATATTCTGACCCCAAAACCCAATTGAGTCACAGTTTTGTTACTCAATATGGGAATTTCCAAGTACCATTGGCTAAGATGATGCTTGCGGTTCGCTGTCGGCTGGCCGTGGCCAGGCCCTCCTTCCCCCCCCTGAGACGGAGCTCATTTAATGGACAGCTTGTGATCGCGAGACTATACAGCCAGGTGAACAGGAGTGTGTCTTCAAATTCACTGCTTGAAAATACACGAAATATTGGAATAATTGCCCATGTAGATGCGGTGAGCTGTGGAAGAGCACCGAATAAAGCTAATTTGCATGCTAATGAGACGAGTAGGGCAAAACCACCACCACAGAGCGAATGCTCTACTATAGTGGTGTTACTCAGAGAGTGGGTGATGTCGATGCTGGAAATACTGTCACGGATTTTCTTGACCTTGAACGGCAAAGAGGAATCACTATTCAATCGGCAGCCATTACTTTTCATTGGCCTTTGGAAGCAAACTGCCCCCCCGGAACGCAGCCGAAGACGGTGAATCTGATCGACACCCCTGGACATCAGGACTTTCGATTTGAGGTTGACCGATGCCTGCCGATTCTGGATGGAGCGGTCTGTATTATCGATTCCGTGAAAGGAGTCGAGGCTCATACGGAACGTGTGTGGGGATCAGCCCATGAATTCCGGATCCCGCGAATAGTGTACTGTAACAAGCTTGACCGCGAAGGTGCATCGTTCAAAAGAGCCGTCATGGAGATTGGATCTAGACTTAAAGGGTGGCCTCTTGTTTGCCAAATCCCTTGGTGGGAGAAGGAGGAGTTTGTTGGTGTCATTGACATTGTGGATCGTGTTGGATACCGATGGAAATCTGAACGCGAGAAGGTTCAATATGATACAGCAACCCTCAGAGAGCACCTAGCAAGCTCTAACCGAAGCCTTCTGGAAGAAATCGAACTCGCAAGACAACGTTTGGTGGAGGGTCTGGCAGACTTCGATGACGCAGTTATGGAGGAGTTTCTTGCCGAGACGGAAGATATATCAGCCTCCCTCCTCAAACAAGCGATCCGGAGAGCCATTAGAGAGGGAGATGGCAGTGTGATCCCGGTTTTTGCAGGGTCTAGCTTCCGCCACATTGGTGTCGAGCCTTTGATGGATGCGATCGTTGACTACCTTCCAAACCCAGCTGAGAGACCCGACGCAGACGTGCGACTTGGTGCCACGAAGCGCAAGTTGAGGGAAACGCTGCAAGAGAAGGATAAAAAAGGATCAAAAGCCATCGTTTCATCTGTCGCTTCAGTCTTCAAGGTCTTTGACCACCCGAAAGAGGGGGTTATCAGCTTCGTGCGTGTATACCATGGCAATATGAGTAGAAATGCCTCTACATTCAATACGCATCTAGGGTTGCTGGAACGTCCGATGGGCATCTTGCAGATTTCGGCAAACAAAACTCAGGATATCCAGGATCTTGCCGTCGGGCAGATTGGAGCTTTGAGAGGGTTAAAGAAGGCTAGGACTGGAGATACGCTTATCACGACAGTGAACAACAAAGGTGTTCCAGAGGCCCTGCGACATATTCAGGTCCGCCCACCAGAGATTCCACCACCCGTTGCCTTTCTGCAAGTTGAACCGTTCGGCAATGTTGCCGCGCAAGAGCTCCAGGCTGCGCTGGAAAATGCATCTCGAGAAGACCCGAGTCTTCGTTGGAACCGGGATTCAAAGACGGACCAATTTACGATTCAAGGAATGGGAAAGTTGCATTTGGATGTTTCTCTGCACAGCATGAGGCAGAAATACAAAATCGATGCCGAGTTTGGTCCTATCGAAGTTGACTACAAAGAGACCCTCACAGAGCAAACACGGCCTCATCATACTGTGTTTGATCGTGCCGTTGCAAGCAAATCTGGCAAGGCTGCATGCACAGTTACACTGAGACCAATAGAACCTGATGAACATGATACCCTGGTTGAGTCTGGAATTGAGAGGGATGGAAACATTTACCAGATTGATGTGGCTGAGTTGGAAAATTCGAAGGAGTTTACCTTCGACCTGGAGGAAGCACGACATCAGCTGCTGAACGGTGCTCTTGCTGCAACTGCTCGAGGACCAAGGCGAGCATCTCCCATTCATGGTTGTTTGATCTCAGTCACACTCGACACATCCGAAGGGATGCTTGAGAACCCTTCAGGCGGGCATTTCAGTGGCGCCTCGCGATCTGCAGTCCAGGCAGCGCTCCGAGACGCCTTTGAGAAGCACCAAATCGCTATCCTTGAGCCATTGATGCTTGTACACATCACGTGTCCTGAGGCCGTTGCTGGCACTGTCCAGCATGATATTACAGCCGGGGCGGGCGGTAGCGTTTTGGAGGTGAATGACCGGACCGCCGAGGCAGCAACCGATGAGTTGATAGATGTCTCTAAAATTTACGCGCCACCAGACCCCTACGAATCGGTGACTTCTCTCCGGGGGAAGAAGTCATTGACACGGGTGGTGGAGATTGCTGCCAAGGTCCCCTACAAGGAGATGTTGAACTACGATGACCATTTGCGAAGCAAGACGGCTGGCAGACACTCCATGACTATGTCATTTGACTCATTTGCTAGAGTGGTGGGACATCGTGAAAAGGGGCTCTAGCAGAGCAGAACGCGAATGTAGAAGAGAATATGTAACTCTAGATCCCAAATACAATGTAATTAGTAGGCTCCATAAAGACCAATAAACAATATTGGATTCCCGATCATTTTCTCAATATCTAGCATGCAAGGTAACGCAGATACAAGTCTTATGTGCCAGCATATTGAACAATCAAAAGGCAAGGGTTTGCTTATTGGTCAGTAGTAGGATGGGCTTATGAGTCGAACATGTCTTGATTCACGTTACCCGCCGGCGCCACCCTTCGTTCAGCTGCCTGAGTCAAATGGCAAATAGAGGAGAACACTGACAGACGCAGGGCAGGGGTGGATGATCCCCTCGTGATCAGCTAAATAGAAGTGCTAGGCGTGATGGAGGGATGGTTGACCAGCCATGGGACCTGATTTGATGGGCGCAATCACACGAATTGCCACGGAGGAGCATGATTTCAGTGGCTGAATGGCATCCCTCTGCTTCTGGCTGCTGCAGACTCTTCGTTGAGCCAATCTACGGCCCATCAATCATATCATGCAGGTACCAATTGCGCCCAACTCAAGCTAGCTGAATTAAGCTAGATCTCGGGTAACTAGTGGCAGATCAGGAATAGCGCACCGGCGCCGTCGCTAGGCGGTGGCCACCTGCACCTTGGAAGGGAGCTCAGCACCTATGAGGGGCTTTCTCCAGAAGCTGGACCTCTCATTCATCCTCATTTCATTCTCGCCTGATTAGCGCTGGCTGGATCTAGAGGGCCTGGACCTGTTGGATAAGGTTGATGGTAGTGAGAAGGAGGGGGGAGGCCTCGGGTATGTTTGCGCAAGCTGCATTGGACAGTGTTCCTGCAGGCTAGGGTAGTATGCGTGCCTGCCGTTCTGAGGCGTCCGTCAGGGCATTCTTAGGTCTGCCGAGGTCGCACTCGGTAATACTAGACGCCTGTCACGTCGGTGGCTGTGATTTTGCTTTTTCGTGTCTCTGATGTGATGAACGGGTCTTGGTGTTGACGACTCCTAGCTCCATCCTGGCGCATAAGCCCTGCTGTTGCAATTTGCCCGTGCAGGCAGGGCAATGGCCAAGTCTCTCAAGCTCCTGGGCAGTGGCCACACGGCCAGGAGCTACTCCAGGAACAAGCGTAGGCTCTTTCCTTTTACAGGCTTGGATTGAACTGTTGCTGGTGGGGGGAAGGAAGAGGGGCCGCCGTTCTAGCCCGTTTAAGCATCGCCAGAGGTGCTCTTCATCTCCCCCTTGTCTGTCCCCCCTGGCGATGAGCGAAATTTCCATGCACCAAGCTTCTGAACCACCTGGCCCTCGAAGATGTCCCTTGCAGTTTGCGCCGAAACGGTCGATGTGGATCCTTGCACCATGATGCTCTCATTTCCAGTGTGTCCTCGGATTGGCTGCCCGCTCATTAACGTGCATGGGGCCAGCGAGCTTGTTGTCGACGGCGTGATGGCCTTTGATGAATGGGGGATCCTCGCCTGGTGCCCGCTTCTCTCCCATGCCCGAGCAGTCCGTTCTCCTCTCTGATCCTGAGATGCTGGTTCTTAGCGAGTTTAAACCCAACATCCTAATTTACCTAGGAGGTATCCCCCAGGCGAGGCCCTGAACACTCTTTTACCGCTCGTTGCTGGTGATCACTTGTCCTTCGTTTTAAACCTGTCGCTCGCTATCCAGTTTCTTTGATCCGTTTTTGATCGTCGAGTCCGTCTCTCGCCGTCACCAGTCGCTCGCTCACTGACCACTACCTACGTTCGCTCGACGCTGCCTCGGGGCTATCACACCACTACTCCAGCTGTCATCGCTGGACGCCAAGGGCTGCTTGCAGTCTGTCGCCGATCACTCTTCGCGCGACGTATCTGGCACCACAGTTTGCCATTTTCGGGATATTTATTGGAGATTTAAAGGGTTGTTGTGGTTATATCGAAAAAATGAAGTTGCCACTATCGTCGGCGCGCGCCGTTTTGGGTTTCGCCATTGCTTTGTCCTCGACCTGCGATGCCTTTGCGCACGAGAGGGTACACCAGCACCGCCATTTGGATACAGATCTCGAGGTTCGCCATTCTCATAACGCGCCTGAGGAGACCTCATTGGCCACCCGAGGAGGACAATGCCAGTTTCCCACCGATGATCCGAATCTCGTCGCCGTCACTCCCAACGCGAAAAATGCAGGATGGGCTATGAGCCCTGACCAGGAGTGCAAGCCTGGATCATACTGTCCCTTTGCTTGCAAGTCGGGCATGGTCATGGCACAGTGGGATCCTGATTCTACATACACCTACCCTGCTTCTATGGTACGGCACGCCCTGAATGCTTGCTTCTCGCGTAGTTGCTAACATTTTTCTCTTAGAACGGTGGTCTTTATTGCAACAAGAATGGAGAGATTGAGAAGCCTTTCAAGAACTCGCCTAATTGTGTTGATGGTCTTGGGTCTATCAATGCTGTCAACAAGGCAGGCAAGAGCATGTCGTGGTGCCAGACGGTTCTTCCTGGCAACGAGGCTATGCTTATCCCTACGGTCGTTTCCTCAAGCGCAGTTATTGCTGTTCCCAAAAGCAGCTACTGGTGCTCAACTGCCGCACAGTGAGTGTTGCGACGGACATTGTTTGCCAAGTGGAGTTGCTAACGATTGAAAATAGCTTCTATATCAACCCTCCTGGTACAGGTTCCGAGGGATGCATCTGGGGAGATGACAAGAGCCCAGTTGGAAACTGGAGCCCCTACGTTGCTGGTGCCAACGCTGATACCAGTGGCCAGACATTTGTGAAGCTCGGTTGGAACCCCATTTGGGAAGATTCTGGTTTGAAGGGTTCAACTCCCGACTTTGGACTTAGGATTGAATGCCCTGACGGTGGCTGCAATGGCCTTCCATGCGAGATCGACCCTACCTCGGGAAGTGGAAACGTCAAGTCGAATACCAAGTCTTCTGGCGCAGGCGGCTCAAGTTTCTGCGTCGTGACTGTCAGCAAGGGGAAGACGGCAAATGTTGTTGCTTTTGCCCCCGGCGGCAGCAGTGTTTCAGGAGGAAAAGATGAGGAGAAGAAGTCTACCAGCACACCCAGTGTTGCTGCAACATCCACAGTCCAGAGCACGAGCTCTTCGACAGTCTCATCTTCCTCTTCCTCGTCGTCTTCTCCGGTTTCATCCACTTTGACCACAGTGTCATCGTCTAGCTCGTCTTCAAGCTCCAGCGCAAGCTCAACCTCGAGCCCGACCTCGACCGAAGAACCCAGCACCCCAACAGTCTCACCAACACCGTCCGCAACTGGGGCGAAGATCAGCGCAAAGCCTGGTATCTTCCATGAGAATGATGACTCGTCGTCCTCAGGAGCCACAGCTACCAATTCCCAATCAAACGCGCAACCCACCGAAGCCACAAAGGAGGCATCTACAACCAAGTCTGACGAGAAGGGCATTGCTCGACGCAAGTCTGGAAGCCCTGCTCTCGTTGGTCTCGTTGTTGCTTTTGTTGCCGCAGCCTACTTTCTGTAGCGCAGCATAACAGCTCTCTTGGGACATAATCTTATTAATTTCTTGTCCTTCATCGGCTTATGCTATGCACAACGTTTGAAGCGTTATGGCTGTTTTTGCTCTTCTTCTCTCCGCACATGCTTTGAAACTTACGACCTTTTCTTTTTTATCTCCAAATATCTTTGCCAACCCTACATAGCAGGCAAACACATCAGTGATAGTGTCTATTTTACGGCGCGTCTGTTGACGCAAGTCGTTCTCCCACTTGGGACTACATTCTTCTCGCCTATACAGGCCCAGCATTGTTGTATCTACTTCAATAAATACCCCCCCTTTTTCGCGTGAGAGGATTCCACCCTCTTTCTACCCGCGGTACACTTTTTTTTCCATATCAAAAGAGGCATGATGGTTGTTTCTGGGACCATGTCAATGTTTGGACGGACATGCACGCTTAAAAAAAGAAGGTGTACTTTTATGGGAATTCCTTTGATCACTTTTTGTGAAGATTTCAGTATATATGTCACATATTTTTTAGTTTTTAGTAGCTCAGGACAAGGATGTTTCAACATCCGCCCATGCCATCCTTTCCAATGAGGATGGGAGGGTGTCCTCGAGTGTAAATGCAGACGAAGCATTCAATACTTGTTGGTCTATGTGATCTTTTGGCCTTTTGGGGTTTGTGTCGTAAAATAGTAGATTGATTCCAACATGTCAGTACCTCGGTGAAATTACACCTCGCATACCGCGGGTGAGTTATGAACTTTGTTGCTCCTTGTTTGGTAATCATAGCTTGATGATGAGTAAACAGTACTATTATGTGATAACCATCGTCTTGATTACTTTGATCTTTCTTGGAATACGATTTTGGTTTTCTTTATGCCACGCACTGACGTGTTAAAACATGACTGAAATAGCTAGTTTCTCTAATGATCACACCCGAACCCACCCAGGCACATCATCTGGGTTGTAATCTTCCTCGTACCTCCTCTCTTGTATAGACTGCCACACACTCGGCCAGCCCGCGGCAACGGGCCCCTTGGCCTTGGCCCCGATGATGGCGAACCTGCCCTGCCCGTGAGCAATGAACCCGTGCATCAGACCCTCCTCGACCAGGGTGGCCAGCTGCAGCTCGACGTGGTCCAGCGTCACCTCGGCGTTGCCCCATACCAGGCCCTCGTTGGGCCGCAGCCTGTTCGGCTTCCCGGGCGGGGGCACGAGGCTGGTGCCCCGGGTCTCCTGTATGTTGTTCGCGAGCGCCTTCATAAGGAGCAGGTTGACGTTTGGCTGGTGCGCGTGGCCGGCGGGCCTGGGGACCCAGCCCTCGAGGCGGCGCTGGACGTAGACGGCGGCGGTGTGCAGGTCCGCGACGTCGAGGGTGGCGGCCTTGCGCGAGGCCGCGTCGGTGGGGGGCACGTAGGTGAGGAGGAAGGTCTTGCGGGCGAGGGAGCGCCAGAGGAGGGGGCGGAGCTTGTGGGTGAGGGGCACGAGGAGGCCCTTCTCGAGCAGCCAGTCCTCGTGCTCGGCGAGATGGGCTTGGAACCTGATGAAGTCGCCGCTGCGGAGGGCCGCGCACACGGGGAAGAAGATGGGGGCGAGGGTCCTGGATTCCGGGCGCTGGAGGAGGTTGGCGGAGGGGAAGCGGCCTAGGAGGATGTTGGCGGCGATGAGGTATGTCAGGATGTTGGTGCGGTGGGAGGTGAAACGAGGCGGGGTTTGAAGGTAGGCCGCCTCCAGGCAGTTTGCTGCTCGGAGGTAGTGGTTCCCGCTTGAGAAACTGAAGCGGCCGAGGTAATAGAGAAAGGTAACTCGCTGGGCGGCTGGGTAGAGGGATAGAGGGGGAGAGTTGGCACCCAAGTTGAAGAAGATCATTTTGGCCAGGTGTATTCGCCGGCACTGAACAGCACAGGTTAGAAAGTGTGTTCTCAAATACTGTTCTGTGTTTGGGACTCACAGCGAAGAGAAGCTTGAGGACAAGGTTGGCAAATATGTAGATGGCCACCCTTTTGCCCTTGGGAGGGCTTGATCGATCACTAGACCGGTCATTCAAGCATGCGGTGAAGATCTTCTGGATGATCTCGGCCGAGGACTCAGCAATAGATTTACGGCTCTCATCGTCATTGCTGGTACGCAGCTGGCGGGTGAGTTCGGGACGCCTGTTGAGCGTCATTGTCAGTCGAGCAAGGACGTCTGATAGCGACATGCTTGTTTTGAGCAGCATGGCTCCGTATGCTGGATGCGTTAACGCTGTGGCGCAGGAGCTGGATGTCAAGGTTAGCTTAAAGTTATTGAAGAAGACGAGGGAGAAAATATATGGTGCTGTAGAACATGATGGCCTCAGTTTTTCGATGGCCACCTACCTCACAAGAGTGCTCAACAGCTGATGTGTGCGGACTAGATCAACGTCGTAGTCGGCGTCCCTCCAGAAGGTGAAGTATTCCTTAATGAAAGTGACAAGACTGGGCCATGGCACGGCCTCGCCCTCTACTTCATCGCCCTCATCGTCAGGAAGACATTTCTGGATGATGTTGTCTAGGCCGGACTGGCGATATTGGTTGCGAAGCTCTGCGCGCAACTCATGATACTGCCTGGGCGAATTGGGGCCGACCTGCAGCCAGGATTGCAGAGAGTCTCCATCTTGCTTGCGTATGAAATTCCGGATTTGGGACAGAAATTGAATCACCAGAGACATGATGGTATTGTGATGGAGAAGTCATGGATTGGGAGTCGGTTCAACATGTTCCTTTTGCAGTCAGACGCTGGTGCTGTGGTGATGATAAATTGTGGGGCACGGACCTTCACCTGAGCCAGCCTCTTACTATTGAAGTACAGCGAGAGCAAGTAGATAATAAGGATCAGCTCACTTCTGTTCATTGAAGAAATACCTGCTGTCAAATTCTCGAAACACTTCATCGGAACAAGAGGTGTATGGATAATCTTATTGTCTACCAGCCACCTACAGCGCCTCCTGGAAGTGAGGAATTGTTTGTAGGAAGAGATAACGAAAGGTTAAGTTCTTATCGCTCGTCAATTTTAAATAAAGCAATATGGACAAATCTATTTACAGACGTAAAATCATGAACTCTTTATTCTTCACATCGCCCGGACCTTACACGGACTCAACCCGTTGAACTACCACAGCGGTAGCAGCGCCGCCACCATTGCAGATAGCCGCAACACCATACTCGCCAGGCTTAAGCTGGTGCAACAAAGTTGTCAGGATGCGTGAACCGGAGCTTCCAAGAGCATGGCCTAGTGAAATAGCTCCTCCGAGAGGGTTGACCTTGGCACCCTCCAGTCCCAAGATCTTCTGGTTGGCGAGGATGACGCTTGCGAATGCCTCGTTGAACTCCCAAACGGCGACCTGATTTTTGGTAATACCGGCCCGCTCCAGAGCGAGGGGAACAGCCTTGGATGGAGCGACAGGGAAGTCGATGGGAGCAATAGCTGCATCAGCATAGCCGCAAATCTTGGCCAAGACCCTCGATCCGCTGCCATACTGCTGAGCAATAGCTTTGCTGCCGAGGACCAGTGCACTGGCGCCGTCGTTGAGGGTTGATGAGTTGGCGGCCGTGACTGTTCCCGTACCATCGCGAACGAAGGCTGGCTTAAGAGTGGGGATCTTTTCGAGTTTAACATCGAGGAAGCCCTCATCGGTGTCGATGATGGTTTCGCCCTTCCTGCTAGACACAGTGACGGGTGCAATCTCGTCTGCGAAAGCCTTGGCCTTCCAGGCCGCCTGGGCATTCTTGTATGACTGAATTGCATACTCATCCTGTTCCTCCCTTGTGATGCCATACTTCTTCACGGTGTTCTCGGCGCAATTGCCCATGTGGAATTTGTCGTAAACGTCTGTTAGTCCGTCCTTGATTAAGCCGTCCTCCATCTGGACATGCCCGAAAGGTGGCAAGTTGCTTGCGCGAGGAACATAGTACGGTATTCTAGTCATGTTCTCCATTCCACCAGCAACCTGTGCTTCTGCCAGTCCAAGCTGAATGTTCTGCGCGGCAAAGACGACCGCCTTGAGACCCGAGGCGCATACCTTGTTGATGGTGATGGCCTCAACCGACTGCGGCAGACCAGCAAAAATGGCGGCCTGGCGTGCTGGAGCTTGGCCTATGGAACCCGAGATGACGTTTCCCATATAGACCTCGGTAATCTTCTCGACGGGCACATTGGACTTCTCGACTGCCGACTTGATTGCTGTAGCTCCGAGCTTGGGAGCGGGGACGGTGGTAAATGAGCCATTGAACTATTGCAGCACGTTAGTCGAGCGAACGGACCACACGGAAGACGAAGTTATCAAGGGAGTATCCTGACTTTGGCAGTAGGTGTTCGGGCGGCGCTGAGGATGTATGCGTCTTGGATCTCGCGGCGGAATGCTGTGGTGCTGGAGAAGCTTCGGGCGGCTTTCACATGCTTGGCCAGGTGAGCCGCCATCCTCGCAGACTTGAGCTGCGATGCCACCATGATTGCTGCTGTGGGATATGCTCTGCAAGTGTCCGGGGCAAGAAGAGAGAAATATGGAAGATAGTGGACAGGTTTGTGAGAGAGGAGGAATGGCAGGTGAGACACGGGCTTTATGATAGTTGGAGCTTGCCGTGAAGGTTCCCGTTCCAGGCTCGGTACACCTCGGCTTAAGTGCTGTCGGAAACGGATACACGAGGCGAGGTCTGGGGTATTAGCGGGTGCCACTACGCTGCTGTGCCGGTGCCAAACCATAATGTACGGTACGGGAGCCATCTATCGGATCCGAGCCGAGGGCTGCCCATCAGTGCTCTCGTCGCAGTGTGTTGCGGCGGGTTTTCTCAATGGCACGTCTCAGAAGAGCCGGCCGGCGTGATCCTGGTTTCATCTGATCTGGTTGATCTTGGTGCGATCCTTGGGAAGATGATTGTCCATCCGGGCTTATTCGTGACGGATGAATTGAATTTCCCTTTTTCTGGCTTCTGGCGCTTGCTTACTAGATACGGTTCCGGCAAATTCTGTCACCATTCCTACCACGCATCTATTCACACACCGAG